GACCATAAATATTCTTTTGATTCAAATTGTTGGTCATTGATATAGTCAGTCTGTGCATTATAGAAACAGTGGAAAATTGAAATTTCAATGAAAACACAGAATGTAAAATACAAAATATTAATTGAAAATGGAATGAATTTATATACTTGACGTCCATTGTTTGAATGTGTACGTGTCATCAGAATGATCAGTCAGCTACAACGCAGAACTTGATGCGTACGTACATCAGTTCAAGCTGTCCATACCACATTAGCATAGAGATGCAATTGTCAATACGAATCACATTGTAGAGAGTTAGTTGAAGTATAGCAGTTATGGAGAGGATAAGGGTTTTGAAGATATTATTCAAGAAGTATAATCCAGTCATGAGTTCAGAAGACTAGAACCTCAGAGAAGACAAAGAATGAATGCATCTGCGCCCTTGTTATTTATTTGGAGTCATATTATTAAGTCTCTAAATACCGGTTAGTGGTTTCTTGCTGACCGCGAAAGATAGGGATGATGATGAATTAAGGTTAGAATTTGATAGAACACGAAGAATGAATGCACCTGCGCTATTGTAAACGGCTTTAAGCCATGTCGTTCAAGGTATTTAACCATCGGTGACTTTCGACTCACAGACCCCAACCAGGTAGCCCACATCTACCAACATGACTGAGTCCACTTGTCATTGACTTCATGGATTTGTGCCATGTTTTGGTCTGGCCGCCCCTTGCTTTATTTCACCTACTCCTACACCACAAAACATGGCTCGTCGAAGCGGTCGTTGGGTATTCGTAACACATGTCCAAACCACCTCGACTAATGAAGTTTCATTACTTCATCTATTGATTTGACATCCCTACCTAGAACTCGTTTCCTAACGACAGCATTGCTTACTCGGTTGTCCCAGCATATGCGGGCAATGCTTCGGAGACATCGATGATCGGAGACAAGCAATCTACTAATATCTTCTACTCTGACTGGCTATGTTTCACAGACATACAGTAGGACGGAACGAACTGCTACGAAGTACACGTCGTTTGGTTAGCGAACGGATATCTCGCCTACGCCATAAGTGACGCAGGTTGGCAAAAGCCAATCGAGCTTTCTGTATCCGAGCTGAGATTTCGTCAGTCACCAGGTCATCGGCACTGATGAGACTCCCCAGATAAGTGAGGCGGTTTACACGCTCGACTACTTCACTCCCTATCACTAGTTCAGGTACCGACGCAAACCAATCCTGAAGCGATATCTTGCATTTCAAGGGGTAAAGCCACATCCTAAACATGCTTGCATCGGTGCTTAGAGTAATAAGAAGACTCTGAATTCTGTAAGCGTCTTCACCAAATAGGACTATTCCATCAGCATATTCTAGGTCAGCAAGCGATTCTCCTAGTAGAATGTCCACTCGTGAAGAGTCAGACGATGATAATGTCAACTCTAAAAGCATATCTACAACAAAGTTAAACAAGACTTGGAAGAGAGGACATCATTGACGAACACCACTTGAAGTAAAGATCTCAATCAATTGCACTTTTAGAACTGGATCACCATCTTTACAAATCTGAGGTGTTAATCCATCAGAATGTATAACACATACAAATAAAATTCAAATAAATTTGAATGATGAATGCAACAACTTACTTAGACAGTGATTTTGTTAATTCACAGAAATTGTTTTTTTTAATTCGATAATGTTCACTCTTCACTTGTTCATTTTGTAAACTTGACTGATATGCATCAGGTGTAGTATTTTGTTGAGAGTTTACACAATGATTAGGATTATTGATGATTAGTGCATTCAATTGTTGTATGACATTGATTTGTTCAAATGTTATTTGTTCATGTCTCATTTTACTGACACTTTTCACTCCATTCTTCATTAATTCAAACCATTTTTTTATAGTATGTCGACATCTCAGTGAATTTATATTCTCATTATGATTGATTTGATTACGGCTAAAATTGTTAACGACATTGAATTCAAACTATGATGAAGTAGATCACCACAATAATCATGTATACTTCGATGAATAAATATTAAATTGGGGAATAAATCACTGGTCACAATGTATTCAGAAAAAAAAATCTCTCACAGGTAATCGTGATTTATAATTTTAATTATAAACTTATTCAGATAACAATCGCATTATTGAACGCTGAATTATGTATTCACTCAATCAAATCACCTATGATTCATACGATCAAAAGAAGAACTAGTCAAGTTTATCTCTCAAATAAAACCAAGTTACACATACACACATACATATATAACTATTTTCACGCCTAATGGGTATACACCAATCAATACTGTTACATAATCACTTCTGCTCTAAAGTTGAAGAGTGTACAGAATTTCAGAAACACATTCGGTGTTTGTTTGTTTTTTAAACCAGAAAACCGTTTAAGCTAGATTTCATGTAAAAGATTGCATGTTAACTGTTTCATTCAAATGATTATTATTTCAATATAAATGTAAGAGTTTCATTCAGTACAACACACACACACACACACACACACACGCACACGCACACACGAAATTCATCGTTCATCATCAACCTACTGTTGTTGTTGGTTATTATCTTTAGTGCTTGTTACAGCTGTTGAATTAGCAGGAATAGCAATTTGCCATTGACAATTCGAAATAGTTTCGATTGTTTTCATCGATTGAGAATGATATTGTTGACAAAGTTTTTCAGCATACAGTTTTATTATGTCAGTTTTATTCTTTTCAAAACATACAGCATAATTTGGTACAGCTAGATATGATTGAATTAATCCAATGAAATCTTCAATCATTCGTATAAATTCAGTGAGAAATTGCACTATCCCATTATCACCTTGTAATTGAACTCGACAATTGAAGAGTATCATTTTAAGCTCCTATCCCGGTTAACGTTAAGAAATGAAAATGTGCGGAAAATGTAATAAAAAATAAAAAGAGAAATAAAATGACATTAATTCGAATAATTTTTCTTTCTATTTTTTAGAGCTTAAAACACAATTTACTTCTTTTAAAATATTCACTGATATAGTTTGACATTTTTTTCACCGATTCGAAGCTTATTCACAGTGAAATTTTTTTAGACGCTATGATACCTACACTACTTACATCAATAACAATATCATATGACTGGTAAAACAATTACACAATTTTCCTAAAACCTACTTAAACAGTTCATTTCATTGAAAACTTTCAGAAATTTCAGTTTCATTCCAGTGATATATACTTTCTGCAACCTGTACAAAGTTGATTTAAATCTAGTCAGTTAATAAAGAAACTTAAAATCTGGTACAATTTTTCTTTGATTTTTAGTTACCACACTTACAAGCAATTTATGGCAACTCTTACACTATGTATGAATTCGTAGATAAACAATTACTTACTTACTACTGAAATCATGAATCATTTTTAGATCACCATTGGAAACCGGAAATCACTCAATGACCATTTCATTCTGAAATGGGACTCTGCTTGTGGCAATCGAACCAACGACCCTTGGTGTCACATGACCGCTTAATCTCTAGACCACTGATGCTGCTGGCATTCAACAGCGTTAATGTCTGACTCTGATCAATCTAGGGATTTTACGTGACCTCACCCATTTGTCTTCGGTAGTCACTACCTACACCTGACAGGGTTGAACTTCACTGGTCTCGTCTTCTCCCCTCGAACTCTGGGAATTTACTCACGAAGCCAGTCACTAGTGAGCACTTACGCTTATTATCCCTCATAGAGCATAGGCCGCCGACCAGCGAATTATTTTTCTGGTTAGCGTTTTTCTAGCGAGTTGGATTTCTGCGGGATAGGGTCGCTAACTCCATACCGAACCCGCCTCCTTTATCCGGGCTTGGGATCGGCAATAACCCTAGAAGGGCCTCAGGTGGACTTCAGATATATGACACCCAAATTATAGAATAATTGGATACCATTAGATACCAAATTATTTCAGCTTAAACACAAATGAGATATACTATAGCATTAGAAGGAAACTAGGATAGATAACTGAAGTAAAAACTTACAAACCTCATGATTCGACAATGATGAAAACTGGTGGAAAATATGGTTAACTTATCGGCGACATGTGTTGATCTCGATCGATAAGACTGACTCAACCAACAATAATAGTTGAGTTCAACTCCTTCATTTTAAGATTTATTTATTCGCTGACTAGTTATTATCATTTATTTATTGAATGACAACGCATGAAACTGTACGTATTTCTACAAACATCATTCCCGTTTTATTTGTGTCTATGCCATACTTGTAGTGCCTCCACATATATTCCAGTTCGCTTACATCTAACTTGGTTAAGCCCTTTCGATTATTAATTTATTTAACCAAGCCATTTGTATAGCAACAATTTATATGTACCATTCGTTCTTATTATTGTCTGGTTTGTATGATGAGCTCACATGACATGTCCCACTTGTCATTTGACCTTGTCAATCATTCGTCGCTTTTATTCATGTGTGTGCACGCCTATTTCGCTTGTCATATGTCTGCCTTATTTTTGTCTGACTATATATTCTTAGTCATGTTCTATCTCTTTGAGTTGGCTCTTAGCCTTCTCCAATTCGCTTCGCCCATTCGTTCGCATTGTAACCCATGGAGTTGGCTCAAAAGCCTTCTCCAGTTCACATCGCTTCATTCGTTTTATTCACTGCTTCTCCGCTTCGCTTTGTGGTGTGTCCCGAATAAACGTATTCATCACTACGAATTCATCTCCTGATTTATAAATCGTCAGACGCTATTTGGCAACGATTGTCTGAACGAGCTTATTACGAAACTTAAGAACACGCAGTAAATCGACACACTACATACTATTCAACAAGTATATGAAGGATATTTTACACATAACACCTTCACAGTAGACTTAAATACCTTGGTTATTGAT